GCTCTTCGTTGATTGTAATCGTAATTCTGCTACACCGAGTTATGTATAATTAATCCAGATATGCATCAATAATTAGCTAATTTGCTGGTCATTTATTTATTAAACGTCTTTTTTAACTTTTATTCTACAGTTATTTTATCACTCTCACTCTGAAGATTACAGTGTCTTAAACACTTGTTGTTCCCTTAATGAGCTAACTGTGTATTGAGAGCATCTACATCCAAAAACTCTGTAAAATGGTGTGGATTCATTGCAAGTGCACTGCACTTTTTGTTTAGGCAACCACTGTATTGATGTTCTCCATGCTTAAGCATTGATATGGTGTTGCTAATAAGGCTTATAGCCTTCTAAAAAACTCAAAATGACTATCGAAATGACTATCAGTTGCTGTCATTGCTAAAATAAATTTGACAGAAAATTTCTGTTTAGCACAGATCTGTTGGCTCCAGATCTGCGTTATAAACCCTTATTGTAAATAGACAACAATCAGGACTAGGAAAATGCATACAGTTGAAGTCAGAATTATTAGCCCACCTTCATTTTTTTTTTCTTTTTCAAACATTTCTCAAAGGATATTCAACAGAACAAGGAAATTTTCACAGTATATCTGATAATATTTTTTGTCTTCTGGCAAAAGTCTTATTTGTTTGATTTTGGCTAAAATATAAGCAGTTTTTAATTTTTTAAAGAACATTTTAAGGTCAAAATTTATAGCCTTTATAACTTAAAAATGTATAACTTGCCTAATTACCCTAACATGCCTAGTTAACCTAATTAACCTAGTTAAGTCTTTAAATGTCACTTTAAGCTATATCGAAGTGTCTTGAAAAATATCTAGTAAAATATTATTTACTGTCATCATTTCAAAGAAATTAATCAGCTATTAGAAAAAAAGATAAAAAAAAAAAATAATAATAATAGTATATATATATATATATATATATATATATATATATATATATATATATATATTTTTTTTTTTTTTTTTTTTTTTTTTTTTTTTTTTTTTTTTTAGTCTGCATCTATAACACAGCTACACTGCTTGGTTTGCCAGGCCACTAAGATAAATACTACTTTTTGGAGATCAAGACATTAAAGGAGAGTTGTGAGCCAAACCTATGACTATATGGACACCATGTGTCAATTGAGGCAGAATACCATCCCTGAACTTCTGTGCTGTACCATCAATACTTTAATCTGAGTCTGCAATGAAAACTTGCACAGTGGCTAAGGCAGGTAAAATATTTGGGTATGGAGAGCTTTAGTATAATCTTGTAGACCATTTAAAAGAAGATGAAAGTGTTTTACCCGCTCCTCCACTTTATTTTTGTTTCATTCAATTAACTTCAACTTTCCTTTCAGCTATTTTGAAAATGCTTTTATGTGCTTGTTTAGGTGAATAATTGTTCATCAATTTAGCTAAATAAAATGTTTGCAATCTGCACATTAGTACTGATTTTGTGGTAATATCTTGTAATATAGCACCTTTTAATATCTCCCTTTTTATATCTATATAAGCTTTAACAAAGTAACTACTCAACTTAATGTTGTACAAGTTCATACATAAAACTGTAGCAAATTAGCTCGAAGCAAAAATATAAATAATAACAAGTAATAATAATTACATAAATAATTATTTAATAATTACAAGTCGTTATTTAATAATGATGATTTATATCAACTTTAATATTAACTGTAGTGTACTTATTATTATATCAGAATTTTAAATGTTTATTACATTTAACAAAATTACTGCATCTAAACACCTCTCAGTCATACACAACCCTCAAAGTAAAGTAAAGTAAAAAAGAAACAAAGAAGCAAACAAGTACCTGAGTGTGATGTGAAATGACGCTGACAATCAGGAGTGAGGATCCAAATGCTGGGTTTATTATACAGAAATGGTCAGACAAGCAATGGTCAGACATTCCAGAGTCGTAGTCAAATACACAGGCAGATGGTCAAAAGGCAGGCAGCAAACAGAAATAAACAAATAAAACAAAGTGAGGGTCAAAAACAAGGCAAGACAAGAAAAAAGCATCATAATGTTCACAAAACTGTTCAACAAGACTCAGCACAGATGTGTGTGTGAGTGCTCTCTTTATTGTCCAAGTAATCAGTTCATGAGTGGCATCAGCTGTGAGTGATTGCAATCAGACAGGATCTAGGCCAGGTGTGTGAGTGGTGCATGACTGGATCTTGTAGTTATTTTGGTGGCTGATTTGTAGTTCTCCAGCAATCTGCATGGGCTAGATTGCTGGTGACTTTGACACTGAGTAATTAAGCATGTAGGCAAGGCAACATTCCCACAGAACACGTCTTTGCACAAGGGTATCCAGACACCAAGAAATTGAAAAAGTTGAAATTCTTAAATAGTGTACTTCCACTGTCACATTGCGAGTGCAGAGGAGTGAGTGTTGAAGTTGCATACAGTAGAGGAGTGAGTGTTGAAGTTGCATACAGTGCATTGTGGGATTGAAAGTGACATAGAAAAATTTGAGAGAAGCCAAGAGCATCAGGATAGTTGGTCAATTTTAATTGAATAAATCAACATGTTATGTGTGAATGAGCCTTAAGAAGTTAGTATATGTGAGTGAGTGAGTGAGTGAGTGAGTGAGTGAGTAAGTGAGTGAGTCATGGTAAGGTTTTTTTGCATGAATGACTTCTATTCTGTCATGTCATGGTGAAATTATATGTTAGTGGTTTGGCTAAATTTGTATTACTGATAAAGGACTACATGTACCACCCATCAATTTCATTTAAAGATGCAGTGACGTACCAAAAGTCTGATTGTGGATGAAAGCAGCCATACAGAAAGTGTATGCCAACATGAGCAGAAGAGGGAGAGATACAACAAAGCGTAATCAAATCAAGTTCTGTAATCATCTGTGTGATTACAGTTCTCAGAATATGTAGAATATGACTATCATTCCAGAGTCAGCAGGAACTTCCAAGTCCATTATTACACAGATAGGGGAAGTTGGTGCTTATTTATTTGAAGTGATTGCCTGCTTGTAAATTGGTAATATTAAATACAATAGGCTACAAGATTTATTGCTGCAAATTTGCACAATTTTTTTTTTCTTCACAGAAGCTGTGCTTGTTTATCATAAGCATCTCTATCTGAGTGGATAATCTGTGCTTTTCAGATACCTTTCATTTGGACACAAAGCAATGTACATTTTTAATATGAAAGCATAAAGTAGATTGTGAAGACAAACGCGAGCAAAAAAGATACTAAATATTAAACTTAATGTTGATTCTTCTATGCAGCAGAATATTGCTAAACCATTTTTAAACCAAACATTCATTTCTTTTATTTTCTTGTCTGCTTCCCGTTGTTAATCCGGGGTCGCCACAGTGGAATGAACCGCCAACTTATCCAGCACATTTTTACACAGCGGATGCCCTTCCAAGGGCAACCCATCTCTGGGAAACATCCACACATTCACACACACACACACACACACACACACACACACACACACACACACACACACACACACACACACACACACACACACACACTACGGAAAATTTAGAATTAACACAATTAGTTAACATGAACTATCAATTAACATGCTTAAATAGTCCTAAATTAACATTTACTAATATATTATTTTATTACAGGTTTTTACAATCATATTGTCAGTCACACATTTCTGAACCCTGATGTCATTTTTCAAAACTCTGGACACAAAATGTATAACTGTTGACAAAATTGTTATTTTTTGTTGACTCAACTCAAAGGGCTCTATTTTAACAATCTACGCACAAAGTCTAAAGTGCATGGTGCAAAAGCATTAAGGTTATGTCCGAATCTACCCTTTTAAGTAGACTTTTTTAGGACAGAAAAAATAGGGTTTGTGCCACAGCAGCGCGAGTATAAAAAACGAGTCTCCTCCATTTGGCCTCTTTACTTTCTCCTTCTCTTTACTTTTACTCTTTACTCCTTTACTTTCATAAATAATGAAACGGTTTATACGCACTCCACTGAAGACATCCATTAACCTACACGTTTCATCTTGTTGTCATTCAGCTCTAATTTCCAGCAAACAAATAAATAAACAATAATAATGAAGTGTTCTCAAAAATCTGAGTTATATCCAAACACATGTCCTATACTTATCTCCAAAACCCTAACAGGTGGACAAATCTAAACGTGCTTTTATTAAAACAAATATAAATATGCACATAATAAATATTATTACTACTACTACTACTACTACTACTACTACTACTACTAATAATAATAATAATAATAACATTAAAATAAAAATGCTAAGTGTTATATTTAATCTGAAAATTATATTATATCTATCTAGTAGATATAAAATATTTTTTGTAACATTTTATTCCTTTATTATTATTATTTTTTTTTTAATATGTAAAGATATTTGTGTATTGCTTTACTTTCTGTGTCTGCGCTGGACTTTAGACCAGCTTTTACTTGGTCAATTGTGCAGTTTATTTCAGTTCCTCAAAATAGCAATGCACCAACAATGCGCCTTAACACACCTGCTTTTCTGACAGGACCACCCATGAGTCCACAAAGTGGTGCAAATGGATTTGCTATTTAAGCAACGTGGCGCAAAACTTAAAAATTAAGGTTGCGTTGGACTGAAAATTGCAACAAATTACGCCAAACATATTTTACGCCTTATTGCGCTGGGTTTATGACAAAAACTTTTTCAAATGATTGGATGCAATACACATACAGTATATTAAAGATGCCTTGTTTACTGAACTAAAATCACCTGTTCAAAATAGCACAATTTAACATCAAATTATACCATTTCAAAATGCAACTGAAATAGCAGTGTGTACATTTAATTAAAATTATACAACTATTAACTGATACAGTTTCTTAAAATGATTAGAAACAGTTGCTTTAGTCTTGGTGCATAGTTTTATGGATGTCATATTTCATCTTCACTGTTGATGGTTTCTATGGTCTTATGTATCACTTTTACAGACAATGTTTTCATATTTGTCATCAGTGTATGCAAGAAAGCCCAATCACAGCATCACAGCAGACCAATGTCAGGCATGGATTCACCATACCAGAAGGATCTTAACAAGATGCTTGGCTGATGAAAACATCCAATATGATGTGGCTGAGAATCTGCGGCCAAATCTACAAGACCTATGTGACTACCTCTGGAAGCTCATCAAGAGAATGCCAAGAGTGTGCAAAGCAATAATCAAAGCTAAAGGTGGCTTCTAGAATATGACATATTTTCAGTTGTTGCACACTTTTTTTTTTTGGTTATGTACATAATTCCACATGTGTTAATTCATAGTTTTGATGCCTTCAGTGTGAACCTACAATTTTCATAGTCATGAAGATAAAGAAAACTCTTTGAATGAGAAGGTGTGTCCAAACCTGATGTGATCTAATATTCAGAAAATATTAATAATAATAATCATTCATTCAGTCATTTTCCTTCGGCTTAGTCCCTTTATTTTACAGGGATCGTCAAAGTGGAATGGACGGCCAACTTATCCAGCATATTTTTTTTGCAGAGCGGATGCTCTTCCAGCTGAATCCTAGTTCTGGGGTAAATCCATACACACTCATTCACACTCATACACTACGGAAAATTTAGTTTGCTCAATTCACCTTTAGCGCATGTATTTGGACTGTGGAGGAAACCGGAGCACCCAGAGGAAACTATTGAGAACTTGGGGAGAACATGCAAACTCCTCACACAAATGCAAACTGACCCAGCTAAGACTCAAACCAGTGACCTTCATGCTGTGAGGCAACAGTGCTAACCACTGAGCCACAGTGTTGCCCAATAATAATAAATACAGTAATTGCTCATTAAAGTTCAATCTATTCAGTAAAAAATAAAGTTTAATATTGTATATAATGACAGCAATGTGCCCTTGTCAAACGCTCGCTCAAGCAAATTACAGTGGTCTCGATCTAGTCTGGAAATGTGTCATGTCTGTCACCAGTTGTGTAATGGCACAATTCCAGACTCATTATCCAAGTCCAAGTTATACATGAATAAAAATGCTTTTACATAACTTCTTCATGTCTAGCAGGACATAACTGACAGAATAATGCCACAATCTTTCTCTGTAGCAGTCATACAGCAGCATCCTCAGTGCTGTCAAAACTGCTGGTTATATTTATGTTAAAAAAACTGTCATTGTAAAATCCATAGGGCAAAATTCAACTGAAACCAGAAATGTTCCGGAAAGCTTAATATGCATTTCCCTTTTATGTTGAAAACTGCACCCCAGATGAACGTAGTATGTGTGAGAGGGATCAAATGCTATATTCTGAACAATTTTATTTTCTTGGAATTCTTGCGTTTTGGCGTCAGATATCAACCCTCCTGAGTACCTAAACAGATTTCTTCCTTCAAACAGCACATTTAAGAGGTCCTCCAAGCTGAAAGAGTGTGATTAAATGCGTGGAAGCTGTTTTGAAGCGAAATATGAACTACTCACTGTTCAGTCCACTGATTCTTTGTTGTACTGCCCCGTCTTCTTCAGAAAAAAAGAAAGAAAAAAATAAGCATTTTAATAGATTTCTGCCTCAGGCGGTTTGTCTTATTCAGTGAAATTCCAAAATCCCAGGGTCTCCGTTTATGATATTAGTAAATGTTTCATGCCAGACCTTATGAAATACTAATTCTCATACTGACATCTAGTGTTAGCCCATGGAATGGACGTCTTTTGAGCCTGTAACCATAGAAACACATAGACATAAAAGAAGTTGTCCAGACCTTTCGTGCAACGACCTGCTGCTAATCTTATACATGGCTTCAGCGATTGGATAAATAAATTAGTATAAATAAATGAACACTATTACTACAAACACAACCATTGCTAACAGACACCACTTCTCTGCTACTGTTGTTGCTGCCTACTGCTAGAGCTAAAAAAAATATATATATATATATATTCAGACTTTTAAATAAATCTGTAGGCCTACTGCTGCTTTCCACCATTTAATGGTTACAAATGAGTTAACAGCGCTATAAGCCTGTAACCAGGGAGGGAGGTTAGGAAAACCCACCCCTTACTGACAAAAGTCCAGAATTTGTCCCAGAGCTAAGTTTTTTCTATTTTGACTGCTATAGGCTACCATTACAAATAGTAAAAATAGTCCATTGAAAAAGGCTTTACGACCAGCAGAATCCTGTTGGCTGTCGCTTCGGCAGGACTTAAGCCAGAGGTGTCCAAAGTCGGTCCTGGAGTGCCGGTGTCCTGCGGATTTTAGCTCCAACTTGCCTTAACACACCTGCAAGGATGTTTCTAGAAAGTCTAGTAAAAGCTTGATTAGCTAACCCAGGTGTGTCTGATTGGGGGTGGAACTAAACACCGGCCCTGCAGGACCAAGTTTGGACATGCCTGACCTAAGCTAATCAGTTTTGGCCAATGCTAACAAATATTTTCATTTTAAAGTAAGAGAAGTCTTATTTCTGTGTTATTTTAAAAAAAAAGAATTTATTTATTTATTTATTCTAAATCTTGGACCTTATTGAAAAAAAATATAATAATAATAATTAAATAAAGTTGAGAAGCACCAAAAGCGGATCATAATGAATTTGAATACTTTTTTGGCTATTGTTGCTGTCTATGAATTTACTAATATACTTTTTTATAGGAGAAGATAACAAAAAATCTGATGAATGACAATAGGCCACAGTTTGTTTGTTTTTATTATTATTATTATTATTATTATTATTATTATTATTATTATTATTATTATTATTATTATTATTATTTAAAACAGATTCCTTTTTTTAGATTCCTTTCGTTTTTGTAATAAATTTGTATTTTATAAATATATATTTTTCATATTTTTTTATTCTAAATCTTTAGGAATGTTTTTGCTACATCAAAAAGTGTAGTTATTATGACCATCCAACAAGCTAAAAAAAAAAATATATATATATATATATATATATATAAATATATATATATATATATATATATATATATATATATATATATATATATATATATATATATATATATATATATCACTAAAATGCACTATTTCAGTCTCATAATAAAATAGAAAAAGAGGCGTATACTTGCAAAAAGGTCCACTTTTTGAGAAAAAAGAACCACCCCTTACATCGGGCTGGTTACGGGCCTATGGAATCTTTGTACAGTATGGTGTGTCTAAAACAGGGGTGCCCATGTTTTCTTATTAAGGGCCAAAAACCAAACCTGATTGAGGGCTGTGGGCCTTTCCATGAGTATCTTATAACTAATGCAGTACATTTAAAAAAAAAAAAAAAAAAAAAGGAAAATGAATTTATTACAGTAAAAACAATGTTGTTAATGACACAATGGAGTTCAATGCTGAATACACTAAGCTGCCAACTGCCAGCTGCCACTCCTTTGCCTTGATTTGCTCGATGACGTCTTGTGAATTACCATCTATGCGTTGCCTGACAGTATTTACATTTTTTTTTTCAAAAATCAGATTCATTTACAAAACAAAACAAATTACAAAACAAACAAACACAAGGTTACATTAAATTCAAAACAACTTTCTTTGCCAAAGATATTCACTCTAACCACCTCCTCATCATTTTTCCTCTCTTCTTAAATGGGATAGTGGGTCAAATCAAAGGTTAGAATGGGCCAACTTTGGCCTGCAGGCCCTAGTTTGGATGTCTCTGATCTAAAGCATATTGGTCAAAAGTTTATGGTATCCAGTCATGCTTTCTGTTTTCCATTATCAAGATAAATGAGCACAGTAAGACTTTAGGAGATTTTTCTGATCTAGGGTATGGAACACACCATCATCTTATTAATTTATTTATTCATAATCTATTTTTTAATAATATAATTAATGAATATTATCTGATGCTACTACTACTACTACTACTACTACTACTACTACTACTACTAATAATAATAATAATAATAATAATAATAATAATAATAATAATAATAATAATTTTACAAAAATAATAATACAATAATAATTTAATTATTATAATATAATATAATATAATATAATTTAATATAATTTAATATAATATAATATAATATAATAATATTAGTAATATAATAATAATAAAATTAAAATAATAATAATAATAATAATTCATTCATTTTCTTTTCAGCTTAGTCCCTTTATAATAATAATAATAATAATAATAATAATAATAATAATTTAGTGTAATATCATCTTTTTCCCCCACAACAATTGTGTGACTGAATAGTGTGATGCAAGGGAATAAAGCATTGCTGAAAGCAGAGTAATAAACCAGAATATGGAGCCAGTTGCTTTATATTCTAGCAGTGACTGTCTGAACTACAAAATGTTTTTTATTGCATACTTGTGGTGAATCTCATGGGAAGCGATTACACACACCACCCTGCTGTTGAATGCCGATCCCAATTCATACTCTCATCTTCCGTATATACACACTTCACACATGTAACCTGAAGGCTTTGCAGAATGTTGGATTGGATCCAGCTGATATACAGTCTTACTGTGATCTGTGACTGGAGTTCTATCACTAAAGCACATATTCCAAGTGCTTACTTTCTCTCCCTGGATAAACTACAGTTATATTCTGGCTTCATTAATAGAATCTCAGTGACTATGCACTGCCTAAAATTTAATAAAAATAAAGCATAAATGTGTTGTACCTCTTGTCGTGGCACATTACATGTCAGTGGTCTGCTGGAATAAAGGCACAAGGGTACAACTAAAAGAGCTTTCTTTTATATGCACAAAACATTCAAGTCTATGGGTAAATTGCTGTCCTACTTCTGTCATTCAGGTTTAGAATTTGATGGTGTGTACGTGTGTGCTTTAAGCTGTGCTAAAACTGACTACCAAAACTGAAAACTTACAGAGAATACTTTGTAGTGTGCAAATATTTTCTGGAAAATAAACAATATTAAACAGATTTTTTAAGAGATACACAGACTCAATCTGTCTATCAATCTGTCAATCAATCAATCTGTCTCACTTAAATACATGCATTAATCACATATCAACATCTGAATATGAACTGAAAATGAAAAGCATCTCATCTCAATATTAAAAATAATATCTTGAAATGGCTTGAATAACTTTGCTGTTTAACGCAGCACTGTGTACAGTTGAAGTCAGATTTATTAGCCCCCCTTTGAATTTGTTTTCTTTTTTAAATATTTCCCAAATGATGTTTAGCAGAGCAAGGAAATTTTCACAGTATGTCTGATAATATTTTTTTTTCTTCTGGAGAAAGTCTTATTTGTTTTATTTCAGCTAAAATAACAGCGGTTTTAAATTTTTTAAAAGGCATTTTAAGGTAAAAATTATTAGCCCCTTTATATATATATTTTGATAGTCTATAGAACAAACCATCATTTTACAATAACTTGCCTAATTACCCTAACCTGCCGAGTAAACCTAATTAATCTAGTTAAGCCTTTAAATGTCACTTTAAGTTGTATAGAAGTG